CACCCACATCCAACAACTCAATATTTATCTCTTATTATTGATTACTTGATTAATTGCTCTACATCATAGTCGATTGATTTGATTGTGTATGATGGGCCCGAACCAAGACCCAATTCAGGTTGTGGGCCCAACTTGAATAAAAGATCCACCTATATGAAACCCAATGGGTCAAACCTAAAAGAGATCCACTCCTAGTTAGGCTCATGAAGGCTCCAAGAGCCACGTCATCAAGGAGTAGGCAGCGTCATCCCAAGAGCCTCATCCACACCAACTTAGAGTAAGGAGTAAGGAATAAGGAAGTAAACCCCACCATCCTATGACCTAGTCTTGATGAGAGCCCCACAATAGCCTCATTCGTTGTGAGGATGACGCCACCTCCAACAAATTAGCCTATTAGTTACTATTAAGCCGCATCAATATGTTAGGGACGACTATAAAATGAAAGCCCCACCTACACATGGGGTGCACCTCACACAATCTCTCACATATGGCATCATTCTCATATCTCTCATAACTTGTATCTCACTTGAACTCTCATTTCTCTTCCCTGAGCTTTCATTGCTCTCACATGATTTTCTTACACCAAAACTAATAAAACACCCAGGTCATACTAGCTCTTCACAGTGGAGTAGGTCACCTTGACCGAATCACTTAAATTGTGTGTTAGTTGCGTTAAATTTTCTCTTTATATTTTATTATTTGCATTAATTACTTAACAAGTAATGTGCAAAACTAATTTATGCATCATTAATATATAAATCTATTTTTGTACATCATTACAGACCAAATTATACAATTTTTGCAAGGTCTATATGAATCTTATGGACCATTTTGCAGCTTATGGCTTGGTTGCCCTTTCGTTTTCATGTTCCACAGAACAAAGGTTCTCACACAAAGTGAAAGGAAATGGTACCTTTAGCACACATTGACAAAATGAACATGGAATTATGATGTTGGGGAAAATAGCAGCCACTAAATGTTATCCTTGCACAACTAGAAGATGTGGACCCATCTTATCCGCAAACATGGAATTTTTTTATTTTGCATAGAGGATAATTGTGTCTTGTCATTCTTATTTTAGATAATCTTTATTTTCAAAAATTATTCTTGTTATGTAGGATCCATCTTCTTTTATTTTTTGGCCAAATGTACAATCCATGTACAAATTACAATCATGTGATATTATATATTGATGGATTGTTTTATATACCCAGTAAATTTAATTTTTACATTTTGTATTCATGGATTGTTTTAGTAATTATAAGATTTAAGAGGTAAAGCTTTGGTAGAAAGAGAGAAAAAGTGGCACTCAGAAAGGTTAATATTTTCATTGATATGGACAAATCTATACAGGGGCAAGGGTGACCACAAGCCCACCTTCAATTTTTTTTTTTTTTAAATTATATATGTGTGTGTATATATATATGTATAATATAATATAATATAATTTAAATCTCAAAAGATAAACAAAATAATTTTTTCTTTTCGCGGTTGAGATCTCTTTGAATTTTACTTTAAAGTTAATCTGAACACTAATATTAACATCTCAAATTTAATAAAAAAAATTAGTCTCTAAAGATATGTTTGTGGTGACTTTTCAAAAATGTTTTTGGACAACAGGCGCTGCCAATAACCTGTACAGGCTGGTAAAGACATTTCATAGTTTGGCCAATCATTTTATGTGGATAAGTTAATTAGTCATAATTCCAGCTGCAGGGGATGCCTAGTGCCATTAAGTCAAGTAAGAAGTATGGTTCAGTTTGCAAACTACCACTGGTTTATACATTTTCTTTTATTCGTGCAATATGTAAAGGTTATCCATCTGTTGTGTGATTTGCCCGATTTAGATGTACTTTTAGTGCATTCTTTGATCTCCTGATAAGTAAGATATCTAGTAAGAGAAAGAAGGTAAAATTATCACAAGGTAAGAAGTACGATTGGACTAAAGACTCGTTAATTATCCACAATTATAATAAACTTTGGTATGTTACTTACTTATCCCCTGAAATTGTTTACCAGTTTTGATTTTTTCTCATAAAATTGGACATTATACAGCGGGAAAAACCCTCACCTACTGATTGCCTCTCCTCCTTTCTTACTTTGAACCATTAAAAAAAAAAACAAAGTTCGACAAAAATCAATGGTGCTCATTGAGAGTCACGTCAACTTCTTCATATCTATTATTCAATGCAAAATAATAATGTGGCTCTAAATGCAAATATGTTAGAAGTCTAGTGTCATTCTGCTCAAAAAAGGTGGTGAGGGAGATGACAGAAATGGAGGTACTAGATGCCAATCCGGTGATGGCAGAGAGTTCATTGTGGATCCGTAATCCATGTCGGTCAGTAGTATTTTGTTGACAGTGTCCTTGATCAGGATGAGGTCTATCTGAGGTGGGGAATGTGGGCATAGGTTAATTTGTCTTTTTTTTGAAATTATAATTTCCCAAAAGTATTTTAAATAAAAAATAATATTTAGAATTGTTTCATAACCGCTGTCACCACCACTCCCACCGCCCTCACTACTGCCGTCACCCCATCATCACTTCTGCTACAATTACCACTACCACCACCACACTCATCGCCCCACCACCACCACCACCACCACTACCCAACCTCCACCCTTGTCACTATTTTACCACCACTACCTCCACTGCCACCACCCTATTACCACCACCACCCTTTCCATTGCCCCACCATCCCCTCCACCACCATCACCACTACCACCAATACCATCTCTGCTACAACAACAACTACCATCGCCTCACCACTGTTGTCGCCATCATAACTGTTGCGATCCTACTGCCACCACGACCCTCACAGCCCTATCACCACTACCACCACCCCCATTACAACCAGCATTGCCGCCACACCACCACCCCCACTACAACCAGCACCGCCGCCACCCCACCACCACCATAAACATCGCCATTGCAGCCGCCAAATTATCACCACTGTCATTGTCCCACCATCACCTCCATAGGCCCCACAACTACCACCAGTGTCCCACCATCACCACTACCACCACTACCACCACCACCACTGCCACCACTACCACCCCTGTCACTGCCCCACCACCAACTCACCCCCACCCCACCCCTACCACCACTGATTGTTACCACCGTCGTCTACCGTCAGCACCCACCACCATCATCATATTTATTACCACTATCACCATCATCCCATTACCACCATCAGCCATTATCAGTACCCACCGCCACCATTATTGTCCACTGCCACCCACTACTACATTTCACCTCCACCACACCTACCACCACCCTGTCATCGCTCACCACTATTGCCCATCCCCACCGCCACTGTTGTCACCCCATCACCACCACTACCAACCACCATCATCATCTCCAACCACCACCCACACCCCACCACCATCACCACCATCGTCCATGATTATCACTACCACTATCGTCATCTAAAAACCACCACCACTATCATTGTTTATTATCCACGGCTGCCACCATCATCATCGCCACCCACCACTACTACCACCGCTCACCCCAATACAACCGGTGTTGAAATTCTTTTTTATCTCTTCTATATTTGGGATTTGAATTTAGGTGTAAATACAAATATATTTGTTATTGAATATTTTTTTTTATTACTGTGTACCTTCAAATACAGGCAATAACTAATATATACAAAAATTTTTACTTGTGCCTGCCCTCTAGCTTTTTTACTTCAATTGATTGGTATTTCTTATTATCTTATGGCTTTTTACAGGTGACCTTAATATTTATATTTATATTTATGAATTTAATTTTAGTTTGTTAATTTGAAAGTAAAAGTACTTTCAATTGATCTTCAATTGGCTTTTGTGATAGCTCGTCTCTATTTTTATTCGACTATTATTGTGGTGTTTATTATATGTCACTTGATTTTCAAATTTTTTGATGTGTTTAGTTACTAAAATTTTGTTTAGAGGCTTTACTATTCTAATATCTCAATGATAATGTTTAAAAAATAGTTTATTAAATAAATTTAGTGGTTGGTAAGTGAAAGACAAACTTTTAATTACTAAAATGGGAATAATGACAATTAGTTATTTTTTATTCATGCATAATCTACATAAATTTTTTTTGGCCCTTTTATATTCAACGTATTTCATGTATTAAACAAGCTATGATTATATAAATTTGTTAATGACTAATGCTATTTCGACTTAAAAAATTTGACATAATTTAGTGACCTAATGATGTAGTTGCATTGAAACCATTGGATCAACAACAAATTTCAATGTTTGATGGACTCCATAGTTAATCCAAAGATCATAGTAAATTAAGTCAGCAAATTAGGTCAATAAATTAGATCTCAATAGTATTACTTTTTGTTAATTAATTAAAAGAGAAAAAATTAAAATATGTAATAAAGTTATTCACAAAAAAACAAATTTCTGGTCCGCCTCCTCTTCGGTGTAATCTATATTTATCATGCTTAGTGCATCTCCGACGAATGTTTCAAATGGGCAAAGTAGCTAAAATTTAGCTATTTTGGAGCAAAATTTCATCTCCAACATATGTTGTTCATGTTATGTAAAATGTATATTTGTTACAGTGACACTCTAAATATAGAGTGTCATTGTAGCAATATGTAAATATTTATATATATTATTTTCTCTCTTTTTTTCATATTTATTTCATTCTCTCTCTTTGTCCTTTTCACTATTCCCAAAAAAATATAATACAAAAGGGATGATAAATAATATTTAAAAGGAGTAATTAAAAATATAAAAAATTTGTTAGAGTGTATATTAAAAAAATTAATAGCTAAAATAGAAAAAATTATTTTTTGGGTAGCTAAAATAACTAATATCGTCGGAGATACTCTTACAAGTGAAACAGCGACAGAGATAATTGACTGTATATATGTTAAAAAAACTCATTTACTGTACAACTAACTCATTTTTTTACAGTTGCAAGTTGTGGGTGGAATAGATTACATTCCATCAAAATGTGTGGTTCTCTCTCTCTCTCCAAGAACTAGGTTTTAAGATTCTTGCTGAATTACAGACGCAACAGTTCTTGCCCAATACCTAATATGTTTCTTCATCTCTGCAGCTGTAGTGACTCTTGGTATTCTGAAGTTTAGCAGTGGCGAATCAGGTCTCCTGATAAGCCATGCCTCTGATAAATATGGCCTCATTACGCCTCTCTCCTCTCCATCTTCTTCTTCTTCTTCCTCTTCAATGTCATCATAATTATCCGCTTCGTTACCATCGATGTCGAGGGTTTTTTGTTCATCTTTGATCCCTCCGAGTCTTTGCAAGCCGGGGACTACGCTCATCATCCTTGAAGTAATATTCTCTTTCTTGAATATGAACCCTAAATCCATGAAACCATGAACTTCTTCGAGTTCAAGCTCCCACAAGCTCTTGCAGCTCATGGTTTTCTGCAACCTCGTCACTGCACCTGAGTGTCTGAATTTTCTAGATCGTTTTTGAGTTGATGGTGATGATGAACTAGAGCGAGTTTTACTAGTGATGGGACTCAAGTCAGTGAAGTCACTCAACCTCGTGGGTCTTTCCTTACTGTCCTCCCTATCTTCAATGTTGTGGTCACCCTTGTTAAGGGAGAAGTATAATTCAATCAATCGAACAAAAAATGTATACATGTGTGTGTGTGAGAGAGAGAGAGAGGATTGTTTTGCATTACCTGATCAGGAAGGAGGATTGCGGATGTAACTGATGGGATTTCTTTGTCTCGAATTACTATGGTTGGTTTAGAGTTGCTTGATGATGAATAGGCAAGTGGTTGAGGGGTAGAAACGGTTTCTTTGGGGGGTTTTGGGAAAAGTAGAGAAGAGGGTTCTGAGAAAAGAATAATTTGGTGAAACCAAAGACGATCCATGGCTCCTAGAAGACATATAGCATAGTTAGTTGCCATGGTTGTGGGGGGAGAGAGAGAGAGAGAGAGAGAGGTGGCTGTTTGAAGACAAAACGATACTAATTAATTTAATATATGATTTGTGGGTTGTGGGTTGTGGGGGTGGTGGAATTGAAGAGAATAAATGGAGGCAAAAGAATACAAAACAGCAAGTGGGTGGTCCTGAGGCTGTGGCAGATGTGGTTATGAGTCATGGAACCCCTCTCCTCCTCATCTTTCACATGTTTAATGACTAGTTTGTTCATACTACATATGGACACTACCACTACACAAACATCCGAATGTCCCACCTTAAATTTACCCACAAATGTAACATGTCAAACATTATTTGTCATATATATGTATATATATATTATTACTGAACATCACATGCATTTTATTAACTTCCTTGCATAACATTTTTGTAACCATCAAATCATAGTCTTTTAACATTTTGAGTATAGCATGGGGAATCCTTGAAGTGTAATGTGTCCTTGTACAAGTCAATACTATCTCAATAAGTTAAACGATTAATATTAAATGGACTTAATTTGGGGATTTAATTTAATTTATTTGTTGGATTAGTTATGAACTTTAATATTAGATTAAACTCACTTTTAATCTAACGAATAAAAGTTAGATCCCAAATTAGATTCTCATACTAAAAATACGAAATTTTAGCATAAGATCATATAGCAACTCTTACGACACAACTTATGACACAAACTAGTATAATTACTCAATACAAAGTGCAAGAATAGCAAAGGGCATTTGGTCTAGTGGCATGATTCTCGCTTAGGGTGCGAGAGGTCCCGAGTTCAATTCTCGGAATGCCCCAATTCTCTGATTTTTTGAAAGTTTTGAGTATTGGGCCTTGGCCAAGGCGTTAGCCTTCCATTTCCACATCAGGCCCATTTCTCCAATTTTGTAGCGGATCAAGAAGCCGCCCTGAGAAAAAAGTCAGAAACTGTTGACTGAGCTGGGCTTGTGCGCTTCGCAATCTCATTGGACGGAGGCAACAAGTTCATTTCTTGTTGAACTTTTAAAAACAAATTAAAAATTTTTTTAGTCCAAATGGATGAAATTTTTTTTAGGGCCGGTCCCTATATGAATTTGTTTAGTCTTAAGTCCGTCAAAGAAACTTATTTGTTATGAAATCCGTTTTTTTTTAATTTTATCATACTATCCCTTCCCATTAGAAGTAAAATAAAACTAAAAATTAAAAACTCTTAAATTTTAGGAGTTTGACTAACATTAAAATCTTTTCTCTTATATTTATCTATATCTATATATACATTAAGAGTTTGACTAACATTAAATTTTTTTCTCTTATATATATATAATTATAAAAAGGTTACTAAAATTTCTTTATATTCTCAAGATAAAGAAATTACAATACATGAAATAAAATACTTACAACACTAGTACTAATGGACTAGTGGAAGTGTGTAACTAAGGATAGGAGTCTGCTTCCTCATTTGCATTATTATGAAGATCAGAGATACAATATGAGAGAAGAGAAGGATAGTGTATGCTGGCTTGTATTGTTGTGTGAAAACACATTTGGTTTGCTAATGAAGACTGAAGTCCTTATATAGGGGGAGAGAGCCTTCGAAGGGAATCTTGGCATGATTACCCTTTGCTGCTTTTACTACGGTAAAATCCTTTTCACTTTAACGTTCGGTGGAAAAGTAAGAGTGAAATGCCTTTTACTTAAGTAACTCTTGACTAATGCAGGTGTGGACCCCTGCTGCTGGTTGAAGAATCTACTTTCGGTGGGAAAACAGATTGGATGTGTAACGCCCCAAAAACCACCTTAGACGGCATTACAATTTAAAATCATTCATATCATGAGAGCACCAATATAATCCATAATATAAATGAGACTTCATTCATCCTTCATAAAATATTTACAACATTATCCAAATTGATATGCCGAACCATAACATTTACATCCCAAAAATTTAACCATCATAATGCAGCGGAATTACAAAAGAAGACTGGACTTCAAAATATTTCAAAAATAAATTTCCTAGTCTAGAACAAAGATAATGTTGCTCTAAGCGTCCACCTCAGGATCTACGTTCCCTTCTATAGAAGTCTCCCATTGTGTCGGTTCATCCACCCCCAACTCCTCCTCTAGGATATAATCTGAAAAATATTATTTATAAGGGGTGAACACTTAGCTCTGTAACAACATTTCTCCCATATTCGAATAAGGTTTAGAAAAACATATAAAAACGGTCGGTCACCTTTCACAAATAGAATTTATGAATTTTGAAATAAAACAAAGACAATTAAATAGATCTCAAGTTTAAGCAATAATAGTAATTTAATGCATAAGTGAAAATCAATATACAAGTAATAATCCATTCCACCATAAATCGTTTCTCTCAAGTTCTTGCGGAATCTCATACTTCCCAAGATTCTTGTAGAAACCATTCCTGGTACAATGAACAATAACTCACCACTGTAATATACGACTAATAATCCATTCAACCATAAACCGTTTCTCCCAAATTCTTGTGGAATCTCATATTTTTCAAGATTCTTGTAGAAATAATTTCTGGTACAATGAACAATAATCTACTACTGTATTCGTATTTTTGGTATGAAGTAAGATCTCGCATAGATACCATCGAAAATATCATGGCCCACGTACAACCCACACAAATCCTTTTTTCACGATACCCCGTAAGCGATAATGGTTTAGTTCTCGCAAGGCACTAACTCTATTACGAGTGGTAGGAAAAGTTCGTACCCGCACGGAGTAAGAAGACGTCTACACACTCCATGATACCCGGTCAATAGTAGCACATGTTTATCCAACAACCATACAAGAGATACAATACCAACCATTTCCTTAAATCACAAACAATTCCATAAATCTCCAATTTCACATGTGATATTCCAATAAAACAATTGAAGAAAATTCAAGAGATTATCATCAATATAATTTTGATACACAACACAAAGCACTAAATTTTCGAAACTAAATTTAAGTGAATGTAGAGGGAGAAACCCATATTTCCCCAAAAACTAGGATTTTAAAGCAAGAACAAGAGATTTCATAGGTATTCAACCCTAATTTTGTGTAAAACATGATAAGAATTGCAAAAAGACCAAGAAAAGATGATTTCATAGCATATAGAAAAGATTTAAAGTCAAAAGAATACATATAATTAAGCCCTAGCCTCAATGTAAGACAATAGGAAAAAAATCCCTACCTTGCTTCCTTAGTTTTTGAGCGAAAAAGATAAAGATTTGATTTTTCCAAAACTTGGATCACCCTTTAATCCTTTGTTTTTCCCTTTATTTCTTCATCTCTAAGCTTTTATAGGGTTAGAAGTGTTGAAATGGGGCTTAGGGAGGTGTCCTTAGGTATTTATAGTGGAAGAAATGGTGTCTTGTGCGCGATTTTGAGGGTCACAATTCGTAACTAACGTTCGAACGTCCTTAGCTCCCAGTACTTTGGTTTTTTCCACCAGACAAAAAGTACTGGAACGCACTGTTGTTCGAACGTCATTCCTGATTCTGCTGAAACTTCTAGTGACGTTTTGGCCTATTTAGAGGTCGATTTGGAAAATTTCATGAAATACACTTTTGTAGCTCTAGAAGTCTACTATCTACTGCCGAAATTTCAGATCAAATGAATATCAGAATAAAGAGTTATGATCCACATACTAGGAAGTGTCTAAAATCATTTTTACCCAAATTCTCTCTAAAGTGTGCTTTCATTCCGGAGTACTTCCAAACTTCTACAACATACCCTATTACCTCAACTAACCTTTTTATTTCTACTCTTATAATCTACATAGTTCATGCATACATCATTACATATATTAACATTTCAAAAATATAATTATGTTGTTATATAAAAATAGGAATGTAGGAGTTTATAATCCACCCCCTTAAAGAAAGTTTCGTTCTTGAAACTTAATCGTTTAGTTAGTCTATCTAATTCTCATTTGATTATGATTTCTCCACTTCTATTCATCCTTTAGCCTCAAAGGCAAGATTAAAATAGAACATCATATCCTAATTTTAAATCCATACTTTCAACTTATATCGTCATTACCGTTAGTGAAGTCCTCAAGTTTACCTTCATTCACTACTTTTGATTATTCTTTATACTCAATAATTCCATGTGATTGTCTAAACTAACCCTATATCATGCATAATTGCTAGATCTTCAACTTATTTCCTAGTTATCGGATATCACTTCTCTTTTGAATGTACAATAATTTTAAAAATCTCATGTATGCTTTTTACATGCAACGTATCCATAAGCATTTCACAATAACCAAATTCAATTTCCTTAATGAGATTACTCATCATTCCTATACCCAAATTACATTATAATCCAAAACTTAGCAATACCATTACGACAAGATCTACAACGATTCCTTAAATAGAGGTATTCTTCTTAATGACTTTGTTTCTCATTAGACTAGAGAAACTCACAATATTTAAAATCTAATAATAACTTCACATCCTATGGAAACTTATAAATTTCTGTAGTTCGGTGGACACCGCAAGATTCCCAACAATTATAACCACCAAACTAAACACTAAGTTTTCCAAGAAATTGAATCTCACTCTTCAAAGTAATGGGGCTTAGGGAGGTGTCCTTAGGTATTTACAGTGGAAGAAATGATGTCTTGTGTACAATTTTGAGAGTCAGAATTCATAACTGACGTTCGAACGTCTTTGGCGTTCGAACGTCCTTAGCTCCCAGTACTTTGGTTTTTCCATCAGACAAAAGTACTGAAACGCACTGTCGTTCGAACGTCATTTTTATTTCTGTTGAAACTTTCAGTGAAGTTTTGGCCTATTTAGAGGTCGATTTAGAAAATTTTCATGAAATAAATTTTGTATCTCTATAAGTCTACTATCTACTGTTAAAATTTCAGACCAAATGGACATCAAAATAAAGAGTTATGATCCAAATATTAGGAAGTGTCCAAAATTCTTTTTACCCAAATTCTCTCTAAAGTGTGTTTTCATTCTGGAGTACTTCC